TCCTTATTTCAGAAACATTTAATTCTCAGCTAAGTCACCCTTTAATTTAGTGATCACCCAAGTCTTGACTGTCAAATTTCAGGTTTACTGGATTGCTGATCACATGCCACATTTGTCATGTGTAAGATAAAGAAAAGTGCACAGTGATAGCCATCTAATAGGAGATAAGGGCATTTATATTGAAGGCCACGTAGGTGCGGTGGATTAATTGGTATTCCATCCTTCTGTGCATATTGCCCTGTTCGCCCTCACATTTCTCATGCAAAAAGTAGATCAGCTCTGTGATTATGACAAATTGTTGAACAGATATGTATAATTTTCTTTCTTTTAACTCTCTTGTGACATATGTTTATTTAGGTCTTTCTTTTATTAAAACAGATCGTGTGCTTTTGGCGCCTAATTGACTTTTTGAATAACAGTTTTTTTTTATTTTGATCTAAAGTGTATTGTGCAGACATGTATAATTATGTATGAAGCACAACACAGTCCAAAATCAAAATATATGTCCTAATGACTTAAGTCATTGCAATAAACAACTATATTCCAGTGAGGATTATGTTTTGCAAGTATTAGAGTCTGATGTACACTATATGGCAAGACATTAGTTAATATCTGCCCATCACAACTAAATGGAACACAGGAAAACTCCAACGAGTGGAACTTAAGAGTCTGAACCAGAACTGTATCTTCAGGAACAGACAATACACAATTTGATCAAACCTGTATAGATACCTGACCATCACACCTGTATGAGCTTGTCGGACATCTCTTTACAAATCCATGAGCCATATGTTGCACAACCCACTTCCCTTCTTTGTGTGTTTGTGGGAAGTTGTGCCCATTCATCCAAAGGAACATTTATGAGGTCAGTTAATGATGTTGGGTGAGAAGATCTGGCTCACAATCAGTGTCCCATTTAATTACAAAGGTATTTACTAAGAAAGCCCATAGATGATTCGATTTCCTTCCACAACAGGCAGGGGGAGAGCCTTCCCGGCCAGTAGAACACAGTGATTACTGCTAGCAACTATAGCTGCCGACAGTAATTGTATGTAAAATATCAGGCAGGCTGGTTGTACGCAAGTCAATCTATCGGTCGACTTGGGTACAGTCATCCTGCCCATACATGGATCACATTTCGACCGGTCCCCTGAACTGGACGAATTTAGATCCATGTATGGCTGGCTGTAGTATTTTTTTTAGTACTTGACCCAGAAAAAAGCATGCAATCATGAGAGAGTAATATCGGAGCTCCTAATATACACATTTGTTCCAGTCAGTGACCTGGAAAGTGCTAAAGCTGTAGGACTATCATGACAGCTAGAAAACAAGTGTTTAAAGATGAGGAGGTCAGCAATCAGGTTCCATACTTTCTCAGTACAGTTTTGCTTTAATATACGGTTTTAGGCAATATTGAACTTAGTAGAATCATGATACAAACATGATACCTTCTCAACGCAGCATCTTCTAATATAAGGAGATGAATGGCCATATTCCACCTTCCCTAGGAGAGGTTTGAGCTGCCTTAAGCTGGATACATATAGTTAGTGTTTTTCCATCCAGCCGGTTGGCTGAAAAAAATAAAAGGATTTCCCCATCCACACAGATGAGGTGGATAGAAGAATCCTCCCCGCTGCAGCATTGTATTCTAACAGTGGGGGCTCTCTGCTGTCAGAATACACTGATTAACGGCTGCAGTCAATTGACTGCAGTTGCAGATGGATGAAAGTTTAGTTTTTCAGCCTGGCCGTTCAACAAATCAAACTATCAACTTCTGTCGAATAGGTAGGGCCACACACAGATCAACATTCGATCAGTGCCTGCCGAATCATTCAAATTTTGATCTGTTTGTACCCACCCTTACCTAGGGCAGGTCAAACCCTACATATTAGACTGATAACTTTCAGCCTTTTTGCTGACAGGCCTTTTGGAAAAAATAGAAGAAAATAGTATATAGTCATTCAATACCAATTTAAAAGATTTTTTTTAAATCTTACCTGAATGGTATTTTGGGATGAGTTCCATATTTTTGCAAGCTTGCTGTGACATAAAGTTATATTTTATATCCAGATTGGTACATGTGCCCTCTGGTGTCTGTCTCTCAGTCACTAGAGGGCACCCACTGTCTCACCCCCAATCTCTGGTTCACCGATTTTGGAAAATTCCCAGGTATGTATTAATTTTCTGTTTCAGTGGTATTTATTGAAAAGGTTTTTACAATTGAAAGACAGATATTAACAACCATTCCTCTTCTACCTCTTATAAATCCAGTTGGGAGCGAGACTTTGGGTCCTCCATTGACCCTAAGGACAGAAACAAGGCCTGGTCGTCCAAAGCAAAATGCTCCTTCAATATGACCGCTCTGGAAGCAGCCTATAAGGCTGAATGGTACTGGGTTCATTGCAGGTTCAAACCCTTCTTACGATCAGCGGTGTACTCACCACGAAACAAACAAGGCGTTTGCATAGGGTGGCAATTTTTAGGGGGGGGGGGGGGTGGCACTGCCCCCCTCCCAGAAAAAAAGGACCTTGTGAGCAGTGGCGGACTGAGCCAGGCAGGGCTGCCATCTGAGGGGTACCACCAGTACTCCAGACAGCAGAAGGATCGGTGTGGTGGGGGAGAGCAGTTGCAGAACAATGCCCTGCGTATCTTTCCCTCCAGCAGCTGAAAGCCAGTTTCTCCCCCTCTCCCTCCTGCCAGCCAGCTTTCTGCTGCCGGAGGGAGAGACAGACCTTGCCGGATGGAGGGGGTGCCCTGGTGTTCCTGCGTGGCTGCTTGCCTGAGCTCCTTCCCCTGCCTGCACTAATAGCCAGGACCAGGGGATAGCCTGGAGCAGGGAGGGTAGAGGTGGTGGAGAGGAAAATGCCGGGAGGAGGCAAGTTGTGTTGTGTTCTCTGGGCTCTCCCTCCTGTCGTCCATGCAGCACATGAGACAGGATCACTGATAGATTGTATGGAACTACACACACACACTACCACCCCCTACCCACATTTCCTGCTGCCCGGAGATGAGCAGCCATTGGAGGAGGTAAGGGGTGGTTATCATTGTGTGTGCGCGCAGTCTCATACGATCTATCAGTGATCCTGTCTCATGTGCTGCATGGACAACAGGAGGGAGAGCCCAGAGAACACAACACAGCACACTTCCTCCTGGCTCTTTCCTCTCCACCTTTTTCTAGGAAGTGTAATGCGGATTTGGGGGTAAGGGAGGTGGTGGTATTTGCTAGGAGAAATGGAGAGTGAGAGAGAAAAAAAAATGAATATCTTATATACATACATACATACATACATACACACACACTCATCAAACTCTCTCTCTCATTGGGGTGGCACACAATGTTTGTGTTGCCTAGGGCAGAACAAAACCTAAATATACCATTGCTTATGATGATAGGCGTTTCAGAGGTTGTGGCCAACGGGGGGATGTGCTTCATACCTGGTAGTCATGCCCACATTTAACTAGGTTCTGATCTCAGGTTTTTGGCCTCCTTCACACACTATTCCATATTTCAATCTGCAAAGGACTCGAAACTGGCATTGTTACATTGCCCTGTCCCAGGCCTATTTTCACATCAAGAGAAACTTGCCACTTACCTATTCATTGCCACGAAGCGGGCCAGAGCTTGGGCTTGGAAATCACCCTCAGTGTCCTTTGTAGTAGTTCGGAACATTCTGACCACCTTGATGGTTAATGAGAAGATGTCCAGCATCTTGCACAATACACGCAAATGTTTGAAAATTCAGACCCCCTGGTGGTTGTATGCTCTCCCTACACTGCACCCCACCAGTCTGGGCATCTTATAGCGGTTGATATTCCTACCCTAGCCTGCAGGACTTGCTTCCTCCCACCCCCACCCTATTGTTTTCCCCCTCTTCTCCACTTTTCTGCTTCTCCTTCTGTTTCCTTTTTTTTTAGGACCATCTGTTGGTTCACCTTCTTTTTCTTCCACTCTTCACTTTTTTAGTTTTTTTTTTTTTACAAAGCATCCATCCAGGCCTACGGGCCCAGGAAATATTTGTGGACCGACAGCTCCACCCGTGTGGTCGTCTCTTGGCTTCTATTTTTGTTAAAATGTCTGTTGTGCTTTTTTTCATCCATGTATGATTGACTGGACTTTCATCAGTCTCCCCTGCGTAGGTAATCAGTGTTGTGTTATACCTTCTGTTGCAGCAATAAAAACTATGGAACCAGAAGCACAGATATTAACATAAGAAAAAAGGCCTAAAGGTTCGCCCTGATTGGTTAATCAAATACAGTATAAAGCATAAGTGCAAAACCGCTATGCAGGCTGTGTAAAGTGCCAACATAAAAATAATAATCAGCTTGGGGAATAGCATATTGAAAGTCATCAGATCATCAGCAGGAATTTACACTAACGTTACAAACATGAAAATGAGACCCAACTAGTGGGTTAAATTATAGGCTATGTGGTGGAGAAGAACGAGCCTCACTCAGAGAGGTATGTATTAATTGTAATGGACATTTGGTGGATAGCTGTGGCCAGACAGATAAATAAATAGTGGAACTAGTGATATGTGAATTAATTACAAATTGAATTATTGCTCTTCAGAAAGTCATGTAATCCAGGCCCCTACTGCCATAAAACATCTGTTTTGGTTACCTCACTTTTTACACTGTGGTAATACAATATTGTGCCCCCTGTTTGCTCATTGGATAATGAGGAAGCAGCACAACATTGCAAAAATCAAGACTGTGTTATTATCCTGTCAGCAAGCTCCCTGTGTTACCCTGAGAGCTTCAGAGTAATAAAATGTGCAACAAGTCCTGCTTTTTATGGGGTTTACAGGGCACGTATATAAAGATAAATTAGGCACTTATACTATGTGTATTTAGAAATGCATTTAATGATTTTTAATTACCACTTGGGTAAATCACAGGGTGATCTCTTATGTTATGTACTATCTGCTGCATGTACAATAACTGAGTTATAGCTGAAAAATGACACATTCTCAATCTTGAATTTCTTTATCACTATGCAGGAAGAACTAGAAGCTGCAACGAAGTTTCTCTACTATGAAATGGGATACAAAGCTCGATCTGAACAACTCACGGATCGATCAGAAATTAATCTGTCTCCTTCAGATGTGGACAGGTGAGCAGAGTGGGCAGTACTAGAGCAGTGGCTTCGTATTTCTTATCAGTGTAGCGGTCTGTTTGTAATACAAATCTTTGCTTTAGTGAAAATTGCTTTTTGCAGTCTCCTGGTCAATATATTTCAGATTAAATCGACATCAATGTACATTAGAAGGATGTAGCTGCGTTGAAACCATTTCACAAGGAGTTCAAAATATACATCTGTGGAATGCATATGATGCTTCTTATAGCCATGTCTTATAAATGTTCTCCAACCACTCTAAAGCATTTTATCAGATTTGCAGGCAAAGCATTGGAAGAGCTCACATAAGGTTCATTAGAATCAATCTAATGCACTAAGGCTAGGCTCTCACCTATGCAGTTTGCGTTTGATCCGTTTCTGCAATGTGTTTTGCATTTTTGCACGTGTTTTTGCAGCGTTTTTGATGTTTTTTGGTTTGTTTTTTTCCCTTGTTGCTAGGCAGATTAAAACACAAAAAAAAGCACTAAATGCTTTTCTGCAGTGTCCTCATTGAAGTCTATAAAACCAAAAACTTAAAAGTCCCTGTTCCATAGGAAATCATGTGAAATAGACTTCTGTGTGTTTCCGCAAAACGCTGCGGAAAACGCATAGGTGTGAACCTAAACTAAATGACAGGTCAGTCAGTCATTTGAGTAATATTAATTACCTAAAACATGAAACATGTTCTCATGAAATATGGACCAACCTGCTAGATGGGACTATGAGTTCCTGAAATAAGAAAAACAGTTGAACACAAGGGGAAGTGGATCGGAGGAGAAAAAAGACAAGTGTGTGAGAAAAAGGGAAAGAGAGGAAAGAAGGAAAAGGGGGGTGGTATTTTGGGAATGATGGATTGGTAGGACGGGGTTACCATTCCACATTCCTGCTGGATAACTAGGGAGGGCCAGCCCTTAAAGTGTTACTAAACCCACAACATTAAAATCAGTCTGTATTTGCAGTAAAGCGTGCTTGTTATACTCGCTGTGCAACCTAAGGGGTTAATCCTCTGCATTGTGTAAAAAGGCAGTTTGATCCTTTCTTCTCTGCTCCTCCCCTTTTTCAAGTGACCACCACTTATTTCCAGACTGAACCGTGGGCATGCACATGCTCAGTTTGGTGTATATTGCTAGAGAGGTTTTATTTTCTTGCGAGAGTGCATGTGATCAGTACAGGGTCAATCAGCACTGTCCAGACAGAGGTCAGGGGATTTCCATCCTCCTAAAGCAGAAAGAAAACTCCTCCTACAAGCTTTAGCTAGTCCTGGGCTGGACACAGATAGAAGCCACAAGACTGCTCTAACTGCTGATGAGAAAAGGTATTTAGCAGTTTATATTTACTAAAATAATTGCATTTCCATGTTCTGTGTACTGTGGGAGGTCAGATATAGTGAATGCAGGGACCGGAGTTTAGTAACACTTTAAAGTATAATTAAAGGCAAGACTTTTTTTTCAGTTTTGGATAAAGTAGAGAAGAATCAGAACACCTCTCAGGTTTTTAGTCCTGTTTGTGTTCCCATTAGGAAGATTCACCCTCTCTACTTGTCATGTTTACTGTTCTCACCAAGAGTAAAAGTGAAAGAAAATCCCAAACTTTGGGTTGGGATTTCCTCTCACTTCCTGTTGTGGCTCTGGGACAGGAACTAAAGGAAAATTTCCCCAGTGGGACACAAATGGCAAAAAAAACCTGATAGGGGCTCATGCGCGGCCAGCTTCGGGATGGACGCTCTGTGAGACGAGCTCCGTCCACCCACCAGCACTGACACGGCTCACTCCGACCCCAGGGGAAATTAAGCACTCTGCATAAGAGATAAGGGTCACGGAACCCTCTACACATGACCCGTCGCCGCAAAGCTCCGGGACAGCCAGGGAAGCTCATTTACTGCCAAGATGGCACCGGCTGCATGACAAGCAGCCTCATCACATATGAGGGAGACATCTCCACACAGCATTGGGACCCAGGCTCAAGGCACCACTGTACCCAGGAGACCCGGGTGAGTCCTCTTCTCCCCTGTCTCCCACTACCAGCACCCCTGCTAAATCCAGGTCCAGACTGGATACTGACTCCATTCCTGACAGACAACCTTCTTTTCCACATGTGCTATCTAACAACGTTTCTTCATCTTTAATTGAATCCTTTCCTGCGTCTGACCAACCTATAACTGAAATCTCCATGAAAAACATGCTTTTTTCACTGCGACAAACACTGCACAATGATCTGACATCATCACTATCTCAAACGCGGTACAAAAACATTCGCCATATTGAGAAGAAAATGGGAGAAATGTTCACAGCACATAATGATCTGATTGATGCACACGCAGACCATGAAGCTGATATCGAGCAAATACACCTTAAACTGGCAGACCTAGAAGACTGCTCCAGGCGCAACAACATTAAATTCCATGGTATCCCTGAATCCATCACCAATGATGCCATAGTTCCATATTTCCAACAGTACATGAAGTACCTCATTCCTTCACTCACAGATGTGGAGCTTGCCATAGATCGAGCACACAGAATACCCAAGCCATCATTCCTACCAGCCGCAATACCCAGGGATATATTGGCGCACATACACTTTTACCACGTAAAAGAGAAAATAATGTCAGCCACCAGAAATCCTACTTCAATCCCAGCATCTAATCCAAATGTCAAATTATTTGCTGATTTATCTAAAGCCACACTCCTTAACCGCAAAAAACTCGTCACTATAACCAAAGCACTGCGGAACCATGGAATTGGCTACCAATGGGGCTTCCCTACAAAGCTTACCGTCAAACACCACGGAAATATCTACACCATCAAAACTCTAGAAGTAGGCATCGAACTCTTGAAAACTTGGAACATCATACCAGTGGACCCCCACCAACCCACCCCCAATCGTACGCAGCAAACAGATGCAGAGTGTTCTTGACCCACCACCTACTCACACCACCAAATACCCATTATCCTGGGCACTGCCCCACAAACCACCAACTGCTGGCACACGGCCTTTCATCGAATATTTCTAGACCTCAGGTTATTTTTCAGCATGACATCTTTCATGAGTCATGCTTGTTCATACACCTCTGTTACGCAGTAGCAAGACATGCTACACATGCTACTTGTGTTTTTCACAAGTTTTTTTTACCCTTCTTCCCCTCTTGCATCACCAGTCAATCCATCTCCCTACTAAAACCTCAAACACACAATGAAGAACACCTTCAGATCCAGCGACCAAACTGAACCCACACTACCACACTCGTGGAAGACCACTACCTACGACCACAGAAATCTCGCCTTACTCAACAACCTAAGAAACGACTCTTCTACGCATCAAAACCATTCAACAATCAACAAAATGATTAATCTATCATCCCTAAACGTACATGGCCTAAACTCCCCTTATAAGAGGTCCCTACTCATGAAAGAAGCTCACTCACTACATACTGACGTACTTTTCCTGCAGGAAACAAACTTCGCCTCCACCAGAATTCCTAAATTCCATATGCAGCACTTCTCTTCCATATACATGGCAACAAATCCCAAGAAAAAGAATGGTGTCATTACATCCATAAAAGACTCTCTCCAATTCCACCACATCTCAGAAATAGCAGATCCTCAAGGCCGCTACCATATCCTGATCTGCAAAATCAACGAAATTCTATATACCCTGGTCAATGTCTATGCCAACCAACTCCAATTTTACAACAAACTTCAGTCAATCCTCTCCTCCCAAAAACAAGGCAGACTTCTCATTGGCGGAGACTTCAACATTATCGGCAACCCACTTCTGGACTCTTCCTCAAACACTCCCCCAAACACAACTTCAACAAATGTTTGCATAACAACGATCTCTACGACATTTGGTGATGCCAACACAGCACGGAAAAAGATTACGCCTATTATTTCCCATCCCATCTATCCTACTCCAGAATTGACTTTTTCGTCACAGACAAATTGACCCTACAGCATGTAACTTCTTCAAAAATCAGCACCATAACATGGTCAGACCACGCTCCAATCAACATTACCCTTGACAACAATCAACATTCTTCGATCCCTCGAATTTGGAGACTGAATTCAGCACTACTGAAGAATCCAGACCTCAAAAAACTCATATTGGATGCACATAACATGTTTTTCGAACTTAATGTCACACCTGAAATTTCTATACCCACATTATGGTCCACTCACAAGCGTACATGAGAGGTATTCTCATACAATTAAACTCCCACATCACCAAACAAAGAACCCAAAAAATTGACGAACTTCTCACATCAATTAAACTAAAAGAAGAAATAAAACATCCCCACGTCCTTCAACATCTACTTCCCTCGCCTCAGACAGAAATAAACTTAGATCCATCCTACTTTACCAATACGAACTTAATCTACAAAAAATGAAGACAAAATTCTATTCCCTAGGCAACAAAGCAAATTCCCTACTAACTAAAATAATCAAACGAAGAGATCTAAAATCTCCTCAATCCAACACCCAACTACTCATACCTCTCTCACAAACCCACAAGAAATAGCTAACGCTTTTGCGAAATACTACCAAAATTTGTATAATCTTAAAAATGACCCAGATACTATCCACCCAACATTTACATCCATACAACAATTTTTACACACAACTAAACTTCCCCAACTTTCCCCATCTCAACTCGCTAATATCTCCACTCCGATCTCTCCTACAGATATAGAAAAAGCCATTAAAACACTCCCACTTAATAAATCACCAGGAAATGGATAGTTACACTAACAAATTTTATAAACAATTCGCTCCTGACTTTTCACCTTCTGACCAAACTCTTTAATCATGCTGCCTCCACAGGTACATTTCCCAAAGATACAGTCAGGTCCATAAATATTGGGACATCGACACAATTCTAACATTTTTGTCTCTATACACCACCACAATAGATTTGAAATGTAACGAACAAGATGTGCTTTAACTGCAGACTGTCAGTTTTAATTTGAGGGTATTTACATCCAAATCAGGTGAAAGGTGTAG